AGATCATTATAAATATTTTCACAGCTTATTAAGCGCAGTTAATACAAGAATGTATGTGTCAAAATTTGAATACACTTGATGACAATATAAAAATAACGCCACTTTCATTGTACAATGGAATAAAATACAGAATATAATTTATGTAGTATTGAATTGTTGTATCGCAATATAATCGACAGTAAACGATGGCGTTTACACGAATTAAGTTTACGTGAACGGTTTAGTGATAAAACAATATTTATAAACTCGCCAACCCTAATAAGGGGCTGAGTAGCAGAGATGATATTTCGGGAAATTTCGTGATATTTCCACAGGAAGACGGTAAATAACCTGAGACTGCTACCCGGGGGAAAGTATGAGTTATTTCGTATCCATTCCGACATTTTTAACCTTTCCCGGGGTAATGTAATACCCGAGTAATACCAGCAGTATAACAAAAGTAAGCTAAATTTACGATAATGAATTACTTGAAAGGATTCACACTTCTGGGATTAATTTGCGGGGAATTAATAGATCATGCCAAGCTCCATTTATGACGGATTTACGAAACAGCTTTTTGATATTACGAAAGTTAATTAAGCATTAATTATATTGTTAATTTTCATTAACATTTATTATACCGAGAAAGTGAATAAAAATCAATCACGAGTAGACGGGAAGTTACCTAGCAATGTATTGTATTATACCAAACGAACTTCAAACAACAGCCCGTGAACTTGTTTTATCGGCAAGAAAAGTACATCATGTGTGAAAATTTCAACTGTCTATCGTGGTTCATGAGATACGGTCCAGTGACATCTGGACGGACAGCGGATCCTTCGCTGGGGTCCCGTTTCACCCTTCATGTACGAAAGCAAATGTTTATTCTCGTAGAAATAAAAATATCGATCTCGTTAATGGTCATATGATTTCATGGAAATAAGCGCTAAGTGTTCCTGACACTGTAGTTCGGGATTAGACCGCTCGCTCGAAAGAATCAATCAATCATCTCCCATTCTTATTCGCGTAACGTCTCCTCGACATTTTCCAAGCTGAAGCTCAATTTGTTCAAAAAGCTTCCATTTGAACACCGATTTAGATTAACTACTAAAGCCCAAATAGCTTTATCCCTACGAAAATATTTCGTTTATATTTAATTGTTTCTGTTAATGCATGCTTTTCTATCAATTTCAAGAAATAGGTATATGCTACGTTGTAGTTTTAAAATGTATTAAGAATAAAAAGCAATTTTAAACAGTTTGAAACACCAACTATATATAAATTACGTAATATCGCTATTAAACTGTACTTATCTATTTAACTTAGCTTGTCGATTGTTAATAACATCACATTTAAAAAAGTCCATAATATGGTATACAACCGTGACCTATATGCTGTACTAAAATCGCGTTAGTGTTTCACTTGCACCAAAACCTGTTCCCCGCAGAACGTTCGATGAGATTTCATTATAACCGATGTATATACAACTGAAGGGACTGGAGCTATCCGCGCCATATTTTCATGCCAATCCGATTCTTTTTCGTCAAGAAGTCCATTCGACTGAATAAAACAAAAAAATGAGCTTTTCTAATCCGCTGTTGTAAATTGATTTAAAATATGGCTTCAAGAAGCGTAATTCGCGTCGTAGTTTTTTCGTATCATTGCAGGGTTAAGGTCGAAATAAATTACATTGTGCTGTCTACGTATATCTAATAGGCCGCTTAAGCAAGCTTCGTGTCACGCTACATGCGGCTTATGAGAGACTATAGGCTTACAACATATAATATAGGCTTACATTACCATTGTTAATTTGCTTTATGAATATCTTTTAAATAGGAAGCCACTTCAATGCGCAATATAAAGCGGAAAGACTCGACTGACTGATTTTAATTTATGGCAAAGGAAATTAAGGGGTTTCTTTTATAACCATGAATTAACCTTTTGGAGATCAACAGTAGATAATTGAAATAAAAAAGGTCTCTTTCAATTCACGTTTTATGATATACGAGTTGTTTGACGACATTTTTGTTTTTAACATTAGACGCCTATACGATGTAATTTATCCTAATATATAAAGATATAGAGTCTGTTTGAACGCGCTAATCTCAGGAACTACTACTACTAGGCGATAAACGCGTTATGATTAATACAAACGCGAGCGCGTACGGGGAGAATCGGTTCAAGATACCCAAAAATATGTACGAAAGAATGTGAATGTGAAATCCTCTTTATATGATCTAAAAAAATGTCCGCAACGCTTTATGTCTATCTTTTAAGATCAACTTACAAAAACAACGGGACGCGATCGATGTCGTGGGTAACAACTTTAGTTTATAATAATAAAGCGGAGGTTTTTTAAAAAAAAACAAATTTGGATACCCAAAATAAGAAATCTTCGCGGACGAAGTCGCTGAAATAGCTAGTCCTAATGAAAAAATTATGAATTGAGGACAAATTAATCGATATTACTCTTCAGTGGAAGAGTATGATTAAGCCTTTTAAATGTTTAAACTAATGTAAGTGGTTTCCTAGAATAAAAATTGTAAACATTAAAATACAATGACACGTGAAAAACACTCAGTGATAAGGAATTTTAATAATATTTACGGTACTGTTAAAACTTCACGTTTGAATGTATCTCGTGTGTACTTTCGATCTTAGTATTATAAAAACGTAGCATAATACATTTTCATTCTATTGTTAGTTAGAAGAATGTGACTTTTCTTACTATAGTACTAAAGACACACATTTATAAAAAACTTTGGGTGGAAAAGTGGAAAATGACTTTGGGTAGAGTTTTTAATTATTTAGGCTGTTTATTTATTTATAAAAGTGCGCATTTAAGGCAGCCAATCTATGTTGTAAAAGCTACTTTGTCGCAACACTCTCACCTCACATCACTCCTACTCTAACTCCCACTCCTATTCCTAAAGAAGAAAGTTTCATTGTTCTAGCTTCAAAAACCACGAATTTCTATACTTTCACACCCCCTTTTAACTCCTTACAAACCTCTTTTCGCAATAGTAGTTCTTTCTCAGGGTCTAGACCATCTGTGTACCTATGTGTAAATTTCATTCAGGTCAAACCAACGTCAAAGGATGAAAAAGCCGTGAAGCTTAATCGCGTTTCAGTTAAAGTCCAATATAGGTGCTTATCTTCTTTAGATGTTATATGGCTGGAGTATCGCCGTATATCAAGAGAACCTTCTATCATAAAACAAGCACGCCATAATAATTATCTACACTATTGATGCTAAAATAACAAACACGAATGAAACCCAACAAACACGATCATGCCGGGTTAAACCCGGTATAATTAAGTACAACGTAGACTATATAAGTTGAGTTCCCCGAAGGCTCTATCCGCCTTGTAGACGGGATTAGCTGTAATTATAACAAGGGGCTTCTCATCAACAGATATGTTCCGAATGGACGAGCGATTATGATGGCCCCGGGAGCGTGACAGCCACCGAAATCATCGATGAGCAATATATCAAAGCCTCGTCTTATGACGTGAGTCTAATCTTGCGGGAGTCCGAGCTTTTGTTAATGTTCTATGTCTGGTAGGAAGGTGGGGGAATGAACAGATTTTGAAATACGAAGACGTGTATTTGGTATAGTTTGTTTGAAACTCCACTATTTTAAAATTAGACTGTCGCTTTCATTTTGCAAAACCTTTTTCGGTTTTCGAGTGGCATAGCCGTGGTAATTAAAACATGATTCTCATCGTTTCATCATCAAATGCATTTAGATTAGTTAAACCGAGATCACGGTTGCTGCAAAGCATCCGCAACGTCGGGCCGCAGTTATAATATTTTTTATATAAGTTAAACTAATACATACCTATCGCTTTTCCGACCGTTAAAATGGTACGAAAAAATACGCTTCTTCCAAATTTACTCTTTCTAACAAATTAACTTCCAAAAAATAACATCCTAACAGTATGCAATCCTTAGTAATTCTACTATATTATGTATTAGTAAATAAAATACAAATCCAAAAGTAACGAAAACATCCAAAGTATTAAAACAGCTGACTGTAGATATAAGAACAGCACTATACGAAATCAAAAGTAAATCAAAAAGATAAACGCCTCATATATTACGTAAATACATTTCCCATAGTATTTTATGTAAACCATAAAAACAGTAAAAACGTCGCTTATCTCCGACCCACAAAACAATTTATACATTGAAAAACAAATTTTGGCTCAGTATAAATGAAATTCACCGTTCCATTGACAAGTTATGGATCCGGGATGAAGCGAGATGGATGGATTAAACTATTGGTGTATCGGAGAGAGATAGGTATATATGTTCCACTACGCGCGTTTATATAACGTTTGTTGATACTCTATATCCAGCAAATTTTGTAACCTGGAGAAATTACTGAAAGCGATGTTTACTATTTAATAATCGCCCGAAAAAAAGGATTGGTATAATATTATTGCAAAAGACATGCTGATTGAAGACTTGACGATTAAAATTGAAAAGCTAACGAGTTTCTTAAATTATGTTGAGATTCTTAAAAATAAAACTCTATTAAAATTATTTACGACACTGCAAGCACTTGTACCGGCATCCAATCAATTGAGCTACCGTGCTACACGTCTTCGTCGATTTTTTTCAACATACTTGCACGTCTCGTTGAATGTGGTTTCAACAACGCTTATGTATTTATTATTTTTAACTTTCATGTCAATTATTTATAATTACTACCATTTTAAATTAAATTTTTTAATGTTTAACTGCATTCACGTTCATAAATTACAGAAATAAATGATTTCAGATTTGACATGATTTGTGAAGCAAAACATGTTAAAAATATTAGTAAATTAAAGTTTTAAAAAGATTGCATCATTTATTAAGATCTAATAACCAATTCAGGACAAAAGATTAAATTAAAATATACATAAACTCCTATATTGTAATATTCATAAATTTCTTCAGTTTTAAGAATAATTTTTAATTATAGCATTAATTGGTTGTACCTATAACTTCATTATGTGTATATATAGAAGACTTACGTGTTAAGCTCGAGATCCAGTCTGAACTTGTGATTGAAAGCCTTGATGAGAAGCGAAGTACGATGGTAATGCTTTCCCGTCTGAAACAAATAACATCACATTATTAACCTTACTTAATGTCAGGGTTGATGTTATAGTGCTCAATTTTTTGTTGATCAAGAATACCTTTCTTCAATCCAATAAGACTTAAGAAGATTATTTTATTATTATTAAGAGAGGAAAGACGAGCACGGGGTTCACTCGACGGTAGGAGAAATACCAGAGCCATCTAAATAAATGCACTGTCGACCTATTTTGGCTTTGGATGTTTGGAAATCCACATACTAAACTGCGATTAAACCTTTTCATCGGCTTTCTAGGCTTTTTCATCAGCGGCTGAATGTAATTAACGATATTCTTACCACCCATTTAATATGCTGATTACCAGATAGAGTCTACCATGTTTAAGGAAAAATAGATATTGGATCCCGTGGGGATCGAACCCACGGCACGTTGTTACATTCCCGCCGTTATATCAATGATTTCATCAAAACGTCGATATAAGTAAAGAATAATATTCCTATTAAACAAGTGAAATTAATCAAATATCACCTATCAGAGAATCGCCCTTTATTTATCGTTACTACATTTCGTTCAATATTGATATTTTATACGGTTATTACTAGAAACTTCATGTAAGAATCTTCATCGAAAGATTCCAAGAAAATTGTTTATTCAAAATACGAACGCATATTGCTTCCTTTCAAAATGATAACATCGTTACAATAACAAGAATTTCTTAAAGACTGTATTATTACGAATTTCTCGGAAATAAGGATTTTAAGAAACAATTTTATTCAAATAGGATTACAGAGATCAAACACTTGGCAATCAAATATTCTTGTCCCTGTCAAAAAAAATCTACCGCATCTAATTTCCTTTCAAGTACAGGGCTGTTTTGTTAGGTATAGCTATCGCTTGTGTATACTTAACCTTTAAATAGATTCAAAGCTCGAGATTGAAACCAAATGAGTGTTTTAAATTTCGTATGCATAGTTTTATACATCCTTAAATCGAAAAAAGAAATATTTAAATAAAAAATAAAGTTGTGGTTAGATACATTGTGTTCTTAAATTTAACCAAACTACAATCGTTTCTTTTGTTATATTATTTAAAGCCACTCTTAAGACGTTTCTTACTATCACAACCCGTTTAGGACTACTTTATTCAGGGAAGAAAAATGGATTATGTTGCTGTTATCCCGACATCAGCGCACCATAGAATTTTTTACACAATGATAATTATTATGAATCTTTCATTTCTGATTGAAATAATATTAAACTCAATAATACAATTAAGTCATCCGTGAATACTAGCATTACTCTGATATTCCCTTTCATACATTTAAAGCGCGCGTGTAAAAAATCCATACAGCGTGAAGTTAGCGAAATGGGTCAACAAGTTAGAAAGGGTAGCTCTCGTAGCTCCCAGACTGCGCAATTATACCCTACTTCATTCTAGCAAGTCTTACTCGACGGTTAAATTTAATTTAAACACCATTGTTTCAGAATCAAACGAATGCGGGTAGGCATACCTTTTGTTTGTTGAGAATATTCTTGAGGTTACTCTAATTTCGTTTTATTTATAGTAACTTGGTCATGGCGAAAAGAAAAAGTTCAAAATGTTTTATGACTTCATCGGCTACCGAAAATACTGTACTACTAAATAGATAAAGGTAGAAAATTCATTTTAAATTAAGAACTTAATAAAAAAGTTACAAGGTTCACGGACTTTTCACGAGATCAAAGATGCTGATAATGTCCTTGATTTACCGCAGGAATAATTCAGTTTCTCAAGCTTTCAACATCAGAGCCCGTCGGTTACACTTCGTAGGTCACTGCAGATGAGGGTCTTTAATTTAATAATCGATAGTTGAATTAGTACGTTTTGTTTGTAGACAGCTCATGTTATTTTGTTTCAAAATGGACAGCTATATTGTTTGAATATACATAATATGGCATATGGAGAAGGATGGTGTGGCATTTTTCTGTTGCCATTCACACATCAGTACCTTGTTCTTGAGATTCGATGACAGTAGACCCTTAGTCTTAAGAATGGCAGCTGGTTGACGTAGGTAGAAGCATCCATCTCCAACCAAGATTTTTTTTATTAACCTTACAATAGACATTAATGATGTAGTTGTAGCAACCGCTCAGTGGGCGCTACGTACAAGCTACGCTTAGTATACACATCTGCTACGACCATGCTACGCATCGTCTACATAAATGCTACGAAGACGCTACGCAAATGCTACGAGAAGTTTAAACTTTTTCTACGCTAAACCAACGCGTCAAAAATTTTTAAATGTTTCGTTTTTGAGATTTTTAAGAAAGGATTTGAACTATTTCAGTTTATTTTATTTTACTCATACTTTAGACTAAAGTTTTAATTGATGTTGTATCGTAGTTTCTATCGGTAGATTTTTTAATACCCTTTAAAAAATATTAATTTTTCATTATCTGTGATTTAATCGACGGTAGCCGCTTGTAGGTTAACTGCGTTAAGTTTGTAATGATATTACGGTGGTTTCATCGCATCACTGATGCACACTGTAACTAGATTTCGCGGCGATTTTCATTATTCATTTTATGTTGTGATATTTTTAATCCCGCGTATGATATAAATACAATAGCATAGCTCATGTGATTAAAGGGTTTCATTTTAAAATGATATATAATTATAATCGTGCAGGGTAAAGTAGTTTGATTAGTTTCTAGCCTTTTTAGTTTTAGTTTCAGCGTCCACTTTCGGTGTCCACTGCTGGACATAGGCTTCCTTTATAAACTTCCACATTTCATGCTAGTTATTAAATTTTGTATCAAAAATATTCAATAATCATCAATAGTAATGTTTAGTTTAAGACTATTTGCTGGATTGTGTCATTTCAATAGTTTTAACATAACTTAAGTTACTATTTAAGCTGGATTTTAAACTGTATTTTGTGTGATGTAATTGTTTAATGAAACCCGAGAAACAAAAGTAACGTTCCTTTAATAAGTTCGTAAGTCTTTAAATGGGGTTAAAAATAAAACTTTCTTACTGCTTAGTAAAATTTAAGAAAAAAATACATAATTTTACTATAAACATTACGCCAGCGTACTGAGAGCGTAGTAAGTCAGGGCTTAAGTTAATAAATCCCTAGATCCACCCCTTAATTGTTTTTATCTCAGCCCTCATTCCAGCTTTGTATCTTTATAAACTCGCTATTTCAAAGGATAATTAAAAATACATTGTATTTGACTTTATTATTAGACATCTAACCATTGTACTGGATGTGAATTTAAATAGTCTGATTTATATTAGTACTTAAGAATTATAAAAATACATTTCCACTGCAAGAAAGTTCTAGACATTAGTCTAACGGTAGTTAAACGTGACCGATAAGTTATCACAGGGTCGTTGGTTTGAATCTTACCGGTTATATGTTTTCATGATCAAGTTTGATAACGGGTGGTAGAATCTTTACTTTATTTTATTATCATAGAAAAAACATATAGGCGAACATTTCATAATCTTTAAAGCCAAAATTACATTCAGACAGTGCATATTCTTCGTATGTAATAGTGGGTCATTTATCTTCCATCAAGCAAACTCCCTACTGTCTGCCCTCCTACGTCATAAAAAAGTAATCGTCAAAGAGATCTTTTCATCCATTGACCTATATAGATATGTGCACATATGGATGAAACAAAACTTCGTGTCAAAAATGTACCATTCTGAAGGAACAAAACACGAAAAAGTTCGTTTCCAATAAGATGTCCTCTGAAGCGAAGACGCGTGAATGCTCCGCTGAGCGTACATTACGCACCTGGACTTCAAGAAATAGGAGAATAGTTACATTTTTAGGGTTCCATATTCAAATGGTAGAACGGAGCCTTACTAGTAAGACAATTACTGCTGCTAGACTGTATGCAATGAAGTTAAGAGACTTTCACAGGTGGTCTGATAATATTGCTGTTGTGATAGGAAATAAAAAAATTAAAATAAATTAGTCTATTAAGAGATATATTTTTGTTTATATTCAAATTATACTTGGACTTGGGCGTCTTTCTACGTCAGGCAAATTCACAATATAGTAGATGGGTACTCTTTCTATATATTTATTAAATAGGATGTGGTCTATATACATGTTCCGTTCTAACAGAAAATAATAAAAGACTGTAATATATATAAGGCGGGTATTTCCTCTACATCTTACTTTCCAAATAAAATGACGTCCAAAATACTTATATCTCTGAGTTTTTCATTTCTTTCGTAAAAATTAAAACAAAAGAAGATCTTGCGACAAATAAACTTTAGAAGCTGCATAAATAGCAACGTTAGCACAGGTTTATTCTTTGAAAAGTTTATCTTATAAATCTATCTTATACACTTCGGGTAAGTCGCAGGATAAAGTTTTATAATGAATGGAAAACGTGCGCCGCTTCATTTTTCAGATAACTACTGAGATATCCGGATTTCTTTAAAACTTAAAGTTTAGAAAGACGCTGCGTTATCCTTTAATCGAATATCCGAAGCCGAAATAGCACATCTTGTGTAGATGGTATGTGGTTGGATATTGTTAGTTCTTCTTTATTATAAACAAATCTCACAGACTTTTGTATTTTTTGCACATGATGGCAACATATAAATGAAAAATCGATTATAAATTAAAAAAATTGTGTTAAGGTTGAAATTAATTCAAAATAATTTTTCAATATAAAATTGATTTTTTGATCTCCAATTGTTGAACTTAGTTTCAAGTAGGTAATAATATATTTTGTCTTTAGCTTGACAAGGTGGCGTTGGGGGAGCGAACTTTAGGAAACATATTAAAATAAATACTTAAATATTAAATAATGAGTGAATTTTAGAAATACTGAAAAAATATGGATGGTTCGATTACCGCTTGTATTATTCTTTAAATTTGTTACCCTAGCAGATTTAAATTCTTTAACGTTCAATTAAAGATGCCTTATTTATTCCCTCCGCGGCCACGTCGGATAGTAGGTTAAATTAAATAACCCATAGGATATATTGCAACTTTCTAACCTTTAGTGTT